TATCCATGATTTAAAGAGTACCTTTTAAAAGGTTTTAAGCACATTTCTTTAGCTAATAGTTGTTTTAAAATGGCGTAAAAAAATTTCCTCCATAATAAGAGCAGCAAACAGACTCACATTTTCCCAATTAGAATTTTTTATTTTCTACCATAGAAATGCAAATGATTAAAGCCTTTAAATTATTTTGGTGACTAGAAACTCAGTTGAAGAAATGACACCTCCTTGTGAATGCTTTGATGGAAGGATTTTGTCATTTACAAATATGTTAAATCAATAACTTTCCTGATCACCATTTCTTGAAGTTTACTCTGGAAAGAAACCAGCCATTGTTACATTACTGCATTTAGTACCCCATATAAGTCAACCCATAAAACTTTTAACCCTAAACCTGGGCACTGAGCAGGTGCTGATTCTTCATCTAACAAATATGCAACCTGGATGTATTTTCAGTGTTGCTAAGAGGTCTTCCCTTATTAATTATGATTTCAACAATGGTTAAAAATAGAACAAAAAAAAATACCAAAAAAACTAAACATCTTTAATAATGAAGAAAACCCATTTAGCCAGTTTCTGGGTTAATAAAAGGTTTTCCATCATAAAGGGGAGGCGTTTTCTCTGTGAGACATTTGAGGCTCTAAAAATCTGCCATCTCTATTCTACTCAATTCAGAAAATTTTAGTGAAAAAAGTAGGAATTCCAAAGTTGTTGGGAGAGCTCCAGTCACTCCAGAGTTGCCTTCTTGCAGTCTTTTATCTAGATAACTATAATATCCATGGATATTTTTCATAATTTTTATTATGTATGAATCTGCAAGGGATTTAGTAACTTTGAAACATTCTTTTAAGAATTGAATTATTACCATAATAAACTTGGATCCAGTTACTAGACAGCTGTTATTTGCAAAGCACACAATTGTCTACATATCTTTAAAATTATCTCTTAGCCTTACCACAGTTCTGCCAGGTAGGTGATCTTATCGTCACTTTAAAAAATAAGGAAAAGAAAGTTCATGGAGTTTCAGCTATCTGTTAATGAGTGAGTGACACCATATTCATAATCACAGCAGTCTAATTCCACTGCCCAGGGTTTTTGAGGAGATCGAGAACAGCAGATTTATGGAATAAAGCATGAAAGTATTTTATAATAGGGGCATTTGGACAGGCGTTTACAGCATATATGGAAGAAGGGTGTTCCAGACATGTGTGTCATGATGAAACCTGAAGAAAGTTTTGAAGAATTAGGCTAAAGATAAACAGCATGGTCTAGCAGCACCAATAAAGTAAAAGGTTATCAGAAGCATCCTAGTGAAGGGCTGGGTTTTAGGACTTGATTCGCTGTATAATGAGATGCCACATGAGGCTTTCCAAAAGGGAATGGGGTGATGAGAATGACCCCATGAGAATGCAAATGAGAGAAATTATTTCTAAAAATCTTGACTATGCCACTCATGGTCAAAAACTGAAGATTTTTAAATGGCATTCAAAATTTAAATGGTCAAAATCGTCTAATAGATGAATCCCAACTCAACCTTCAAGAGCCTCCTTGAACATTTTATCTCCCATGAAATCCTTGATGGGATTTGCTAAGTAATGAGTATGTATTTTAAGCCCTGTCCCGAACTCCAAAGATTTTTTCATTGTTCCTCAAAACCTAAGAGCATTGGGAAAATAACAGAGACATTTCCATTAAAGGTATAAGCAAATCAAAGACGATAAAGCTATTAACCAAGGTCCCAGCAGGAGTCAGGTGGCACACCCGACTGAAGATTCTTTGAGGATTTAATGAAGAAACTATGTTCAAGGGTTTTAGCAGAATATAAAGAAACCAGAAGGAATTGTAAACTAACCTCCCTGTGACAAAAGTAACAAGTGGAAAAAGCTACTAGAACCATGAAAGACATTGTCACCTAAGAAGGACTGCCTGAGGGAAGTTGTGATTTTGGGTTGCAGGATTCAGACCGCAAAAGGTGACCCCACAGGAAGGAAACTAAAGGAATGAATGCCTCAAATGACTGTCCCCCTTCCTTCCAGTCTCTTGCCAGGATTTCTCATTGGCCAAACTCAACCAGCCATAGAGTACACAGACCGCAGATATTGTCTATACAGACCAGCCTTGAGGGCAGGAGGCCAAGTGGAGAAGGGTGGAAAATGAATCTGGAGAGCCTAACGTATGATAACAAGCACATCTACTTTCAACACTATCATGTAATATCGTAGTAGAAGTGTATGCCAAAGAAATAAGCCAAGACAAACAATAAGGGGAGTAAAAATTGGAAAGGAGAACTTAAATGTGTCATTGATGGAAGGTAATATAATTGTATACTTGCAAAACTCAAAAGGATTAAGTGAAAATCTTTTATTAAAAAATTCAGTTGGATGGATAAAAAAAATCATATGCAAAGATCCTTAGCCTCCTATTATAGAATGGAAGAAATAGTCCCATTTAAAAAATAGGGCAAAATCTCTAGGAATAAATTTTGTTAAATGGGTAAAACATGAAGAAAAATGTAAGATATAATTGAAGTACACAAAAGGAGACTTCAGTATCAGGATGATATATTCTGTTCTTGAGTAGGAAGACTTCATATAATAAGGATGTCACCCATTCAGGGATGGTATGAAACTATTTTGTTTTTCCAAAAAATGTTATCAGCTACTATTGTGAGCCCCCCTTTCTATGGCATAGATGCCTCCCTTCCTGATATTTTAGTCCAGGTTCAAACTATATTGGTTCCTTGCTCTATCAGAAAGTTATTCAAGTTTTAAAGACCTTGTCCTGTTCACATTAAAGCTTTAATCACTTACTGGTTTCAGAGCTCTGCTTCTTTCTCCACAAGCAGATAAGAAAGGCAACTCTAGCAGAAGGAAGAGGACGCCGTGGGTTTCTTTCCTGGGTGCTTTTCCTTTTTCTCCAGGTGGCATTTTCTCTGGTGTTGAGGAGAAGGACAGAGAGGAAAAAGACAGATGACTCTCTTTAAACCGCAGTGGTGACCATTTGTTGTCATGATCTCATTAGGAGTCACTGTCTACTTGGTTAGTGTTAAGGGCTGTTGCAACTCATTGTATTTAGAGAAGTGGAAGCTTGACAGAGTTCGCTCATGTGGGCTCTCTTCCACATAATTCCCTGAAACACTGATGGGCTCTTCCAAGGCTTAAGACCAGGCGTCTCATTCCTGCTGCACCTCACCTGGTCCTGGCATGCTATAGTCCTCTGCCTCTCTGCCTGTGTATGACAAGCCCTGATGAGATCATAGCTCATAATCACATCTTCCCTCTCTTGTCCCCAGCTCTGGCATTTTAAGCCCACTCAGGAACCATCTCCCATGTTTCTTAAAAACCATGAATTGAAGAAAGTGGTCCTGGCACACTGGCTGGTTGCCCCTCATTTGGCCATACTCAGTTCATACTGTCTGCTAGGTAAACAACCAATTCAAACATGAAATGTCTACATTGCTGGCACTTCCAGAGTTTGGAGTATTTCTCTTGGAGTTTTCTTCCCCTCACCTCAGGGAAAGGAAGCACTTCTCCTCTTTCCTTCCCACAGAGCAAAGAAGAGCCCCTTTGTTAATGCCCAAATTGATTCCTTTTTATCTTTCAATGCTTTTATCATCAAATGGCTGGGGCAGGGAGAGAAGGGCACTGTGGTAACTGGCTCTTCTCAGCAGGTTCTGTTGAGAGGTTCTAGCCCAAATCCAATGATTCTCTCAAGTGAGAAATGGGACATCGCAGAACCTGTAATTCTCAGCTTTGGTCATTAGCCATTTATTTTACAAAACAAGATTCTTGCTAATCTCATACACTGCATATGAAGTGTAAATTATTAAAATAGGAAAAAATTAAAATTCCATCTACATTTGACAAATTTAAATTTTAGAAGTTACACTATAAACTTGTAAGTAATAAATAATTATTCATTATAATTTGTTTATAAAACAAGGCATTGGAAACAATCAAAATGTAAATAAATAATGGTATATTCATATAATGGAATAAAAGCCAATGTTATTTTAAATGTTTTAAATATTTTAATGTTTTAATTACTTGTAAACATCACAGTGATTCATTTTTAAGCAAGTACTTATTGAACATTTACTTTGCAGTTAGTACTGTGATTTTTCCAGACTATATGAAAGAATGAGGGATATCTTTACGTATATTAGGTGGAATGATCTTCATCATTTATTTTTAGGTGAAAAGGTAAAGGAGAGTTAAAGCATATGCTTCTGTTTGTGGGGAAAGATGTATATTTTCATAAATGATATGTTAATAGATGTATATATACTAAGAAATTGGTGCTATCCCCACTTCATAAATGAGACAACTGAGACTTGAGAATGTAGCAAACTCCGATCACAGACCAGCAGTGGCATAACTGTGATTTGTATTCAAGTTTATCTGACCCCAAATCACAGGCACTTTCCAAAACAACATGCTTTACCCTGACTAATCTTTTCCAGAGCAGAACCGACTACTCCTTTTTATGCTGTCAGTAGACCTTGTCAATACTTATTATAGAACATGTCACACTATATTGCAGTGTGTTTACATGCTGGTCTCTCCTGGCCTGCCATGGGCTTCCTGAGGGCAGGCACTCTACAGAGCCATCCCTGTGCCCCCAGTGCTCTGCCGTGGCACACTGCACACAAACTCTTCAAGGAGTGAAAGGCGATGACACATCTTTGTGTATAAAGCCACAAACTGAGCTTTATTAAGTGCCCAGTGAGAACTGTGTGCTCTTTTAACAATAATATTACTAACAGAGTGTCTTATGACATTGCAGAACCACATAGAATTTTAGAACAAGGAATAAATATGGTTTTACCAAAGCCTCAAACCTGCATAGCAACTTTAATGACATTTATCAATACCTATTATGTGCTATTAATGAAAAGAATCATTCATTTCCATGAACACACTTTAGAGTCCCTTATGCAGAGAATGTCAGTGTCCATTATTATGTAGTCTGAAAGTTCAAGCCAGTAAGCTTCTGCTTATTTGCAGGTCGCCCCTCCAAAGATTCAGTGGGTCAGATTTCTGTTCACGTGGACATCACTACCACCCCAGGAACTGGAGAACATAAAGTTACTGTAAAAGGTATATTTTGGATCCAGACAGATCAAATAGCCTATTAGACTTTAACCTCTGCAATAATAATAATATCAAAAAATATAATTTTTCTTGGATCTCTGTTTTTAAAAGTGCACATTAAATGACTTTAGGGAATACTCAGTTTCTTCATGAAACCAGAACTTTTGATTTAAAACTGAAAAATGTCAATATCATGGATATATTATTTGTAGAGGTGAATATATCTATGATATCTATAAAATCTAAATGGTTCAGACACATTTGTGATTTCATTTCAAAACTGTGAACTACCACTGAACTTTCTTGTGGTTGATGCTGTGATATACACTGAACCATTAGTGCGATGGTCAGTTCTATGACTTGTCAATTAAATACTCTTTGTTAAGTCATATATATTCTTACCTTCTTTTTCTCTGTGACTTCCAACAACTAGTTTGACTTTTTTTAAAGAGTGGTTCAATCTATTGGTTTCACATTATAGAAACACAATCTGAATGCAGGAATCATTCAAAGGTGAAATATTATGGTTACTATTTTATTCAATAAAGACATGTTCGATTGTTATACTATTATAGACTTAAGTCACTTTAAATAATACTAACTTTAATCAAAACCATGGGCTTCTAATATAGTTTTTAATTGCTTACTTAATTTGCCTTTGTATTATAAACATAACACTGCTATCAACTACAATAGATTAAGTCCAGTGTGGGTAAGCATACAGGTAAGTGTGCATGCCTATACATGTCAATGTCCTTAAATATTTTTCAGAAAGTATTATGCCACTATATATCAAATGCCAAAGTTTTATGAACCTTTTAATTCAACAATTTTGGTTATAAAACACTTTTTAAGGAAATCATTATCAAAGGATGAGCAAAGCTATAAGAATATACATTAAGAATTATAAAACCTTAAATTAGGAAACAACCACAATGTTTAGCAATATGTGGTTGGTTAAATATAAGATAGAATATCTATACAGTGGAATATTTGCATTTGGAAAATACATAATGAATTAGAAAGATATCCATGATAGACTTAAAAAATAAAGCTACTTATAAGACTGTGATACATTGACCCATTCTGAATATAAAGTAATTAAATTTTAAAAGCATATACATCAAAATATTAAATCATTTCCTCTGAGTAATAAAATTAGTTTTTTATTTTAATCTATTTTCTATTTTCTGTATGTTATCTAAGTACTTCATGATGAACATTTCTTAATTTTTAATATAGAAAGCATCATGAATTTACCTAACGAAAAGAATGATAACTTTTCTTTGGGAACAAATGTCACTGCATTTACAGTGAACTTTTCATCACACCAATGCCACAGAACTTTGAACAGAAAGCCCTGTCAAATGCGCATTCCAGAGAGTGCAATGATTTTTCATTAGGAAATTTTATTGTCAATGGTATTAGGCACTATCAAGTGCAAGTCATGATTTCATTATATTATTTTTAAAAGTGAAAATTCACTGTAAGGACCAAAGGGAAAGGCTAAGATTCCATAGATCCTTTTGTCTGCTAAAACTTTGTATTCCTTTCCCTGTTCCTTTTCGGTTTTTAGTGATTGCTATTAATGACCTTAACTGGCAGACCACTGCAATGTTCCGCCCCTTTGTGGAGGTTTGCATGCTGGGACCCAACCTTGGAGACAAGAAGAGAAAACAAGGCACAAAGACAAAAAGCAACACGTGGTCACCAAAGTACAATGAAACCTTTCAGTTGTAAGTCATGACCCAACTCATTTATTCTGCCAGGAGACAGCCATTGTACAGCTAACTTGATTGAAAGAGTCAGGGTAGGAAAGACACAGGGCTTTGATAAGGAACGCAAAACCTACAGGGTTAAGTATTCCTGTTCATCCCTGATCACAGGCCGATGAAGAAGACTATGTTTTCAGCTCCCTCCCATTCACTCAACAGCTATTCAGTCCCCGCCACTACGTATCAGGCAATATCATAAGCACGGGGCATATGTAATAGGAAGTCTTTGCTCTAATGGATGTCATTTTGTAGAGGTGAGGAACATATGATAAATAAAATACAAATAAACAAAAATGTATCATGTGACAGTGAGTATTTTGCAGAGAATTTAAAAAGTGATGTAATAGCTGTTGGTTGGCTGCTCAGATTGGGTGTTGAGGGAGGCCTCTCTGAGAGTGTGACTTTTAAATTGAAACCTGAGAAACTGAAACACCAGTCATGTAGGAAAGATGGGTGAGAGCATTTCAGGCCAAGAAAAATTGTTAGTGCAAGGATTCTAAGGCAGGAGCATGCCTGGCCTAATTAAGAAACAGTATGTAATGGACTAGGAAGTGAGATAAATGAGTTTGAAGAGGTGGTCAGGGTACATGTACCATATCACACAGGACTTTACAGTCAGGCTGAAGGAGACTAGGTTACATTCTCAGTTCAGTAGGAGGTCTTGAAAGATTTTTAGATGAGGGGATGAACAACTTGATTTACATCTTTAAATGATTATTCTGCTTGCTATGTAGAAAAAAGTAATTATAGGAAGGCAAGAATAAACTTGTAAAGAAAAGTTAGGAGGCCACTGCAATCATGCAGGCAAAAGATAGTAATGACTGACCAGATAGTAGCAGGGAAATGGAGTTAAGTAGTAGGGAGATGAAAAGAAGTAGGAAGATTCTGGATGTGTATGGAAGTAGATTCCATAGAACTGCAGTGGACTGGAGTAGAGCACGAGGGAAAGAATATATAAATCAGGTTCCTGAGAACATTTAATTTGGGATAATTCAAGATAGACTTATTTACAAAAGAATTTACAAGGATGTGAGAAATGGAGGGACGACAAGCAATAGTGATGTAACCTGGGGCTGGTAGTAACTAGATTATGCCCCCTACTGCTCCTGAAGGAAGAAGAGGAAGAACTGTTACTAAAATTGGTAAAGTGAAAACTTCCTGTGTAGCCAGCCACCTTAGAAGGAGTGGTGGCCTTCCGTAGAGGGAAGCAGCGTGCCAGCTAAGGTGCCAGGGCAATCAAAGGTGGCCTCACTCTCATCATTACTTCTTGAGTTCTTGATGGAACTCCCTTTTGGCCAAAACCAATGGGAAGCCAGAGCATGGAGATACTGTACTGAGGTGGCCCTTACCAGTCAAGGTGCAAGGAGAACAATGCAAAGTAGATCCACTGGGGACAAAGGGAAGTTACCTGGCACCGGATGAAACTAAGGATGATTCCTAGGTCGTTGGTCCAAGTATTTGGGTAAATAGTGATTATTGAGTTAGGGGAATAGGGACAGGAGTTGAGGAGATCAAAGATTTTGTTTTAAATAGATTAATTCGGGAAGGATTCTTGTTTATCCAAAAGGAGACATCAACTATGGAGTTAGATAGAGCTTGAGAATGACCTGCATATACATGTGATTAATTCCATAAATTTAGATGAGCTGACCTAGTGATGGATAGAGAAGAGAGTTGGACAGAGGGCCAAGTCTGAGAGGCTTACATACCTAAACACATGTGCACATTTACCAAGTCAGTCACTTACTGGTTTGGTTTTTTGCTCATTTCTTTTGCATTCTTGATTTCCCAGAGACTTTTTTTAGCATTCTGCTGAATTCTCAACTCTCTTGCCACTCATTAAAACTTAACTATCTTACCACATCTATTAAAAGGGTTCTAATGAATTAAACACATTAATAATCCTTATGAATACACGAGCTCACAATATTCCACCCATCTTCTCCAAATTATACAAAAAGTTTGATTCAATTTAAAAAAACCTTCTAAAAGGTTCTAGGAAGTACTTGAATCATGCAAAATTCATATATAACACTGTGAGCTACCAACACCATGATTCTAGAAAAAGGCAGCATACTGATACATTTTAATTCACAAGAAGATCTGGCTCTATCATATTTTCCTCTCCTATCCTTACCCACCAGGCTTCTGCTTTCTTTCACGTTATCTCAGATTGTCCCTAAAATAAGCACACAGTTTAGTTATCAGTGTCACACCCAGAAATGAAAGTGTGACTGTAAAATGTTTGATCCAAAAGTCACTTAGAAAAGGAAGGAATTTGGAAGCTTACACTGCTGAGAAACAGGTGTGCATTCACTATAAAATCAAGAACATCTGAGGGTGAATTAAAATCAGGGACAGGAGAGAATTATTCTCAACATATCACCACTCAGCCTTCGTTATTATATTCAACTGACAAGTTGTCTTGGTTTGTTATTAGCAGAGGCCATCCTCGGTCCCACACTTGACAGGTCTAACTGTTGCTGTAAGGAGAGAATTGGCATTGAACTGCTGGAACTGATTTACTCTGGAGATTTGTATTCAATTTAGCATCTTGTGAATAGTGCTTTATAGTCTGTGTAGCATGTTCCCTGAGACAAGTCTTCTAGATATAATAGCCTATTTAGGAGTCTGAGGTAAAGAAAAGAAATTGTAATAACTGATGCTGAAATGGCACAGTAAGTCTTCCAAGAGGTACCCCTCACTCTGGCCTAACAACCCCACCCCACCCATATCAGTGGGGAAACCTTGCCTCCAACCATTCGGTAAAACTTATATTTTCATTACAGTTTTTATGAATAGACTTAACATCAAGGTAGTAAAGCATACTTAGGTTGATTTTCTATTTCCTTCAAGGGAAAGAAGGAGTTTTTAAGTTATATTATATGTATCTTTTATGTGAAGACAATTCAAGTAAAATTTGAGTGATATTTCATCAGAGTGAAAATACAATGATATTGTATTAGCAAGTATAATATTCTGAGCAATGCACAAAATTTTCAAGAGTATTTTAGAACCATTTTGATCCCTACGTGACATAAAGTTTTTACTCAAAATTCGTGTTTTTAATCCACGCAGCATTCTGAGTCATGAAAACCGCCCAGGGGCCTACGAACTTCATCTCTCAGTTAAGGATTACTGCTTTGCTCGAGAAGATCGAATTATCGGAATGACAGTTATTCAGCTACAAAATATAGCAGAAAAGGGAAGCTATGGGGCATGGTATCCTCTTTTGAAAAATGTCACTATTGATGAAACTGGTTTGACTATCCTTAGAATACTCTCTCAGAGGACCAGCGATGATGTGGCTAAAGAATTTGTAAGACTTAAATCTGAAACGAGATCTGCTGAAGAGAGTGCTTGAGACCAGTGCTTCAAGATATCATCTCTGAGGATTCATAAACTCTAACTGTTTGACTACTGCATGCATGTGCAGATAATGGGAATGTTTCTTTTACTATGTTTCAGTGTTTGCCAGTACTCAAGTACAATGTCTACAAGGTATGTGAAAAACCTGCTGAACTTTTATACCAATTCTGGTCTTTGGGAAATAAATGTTCCATGAAGTGCCAAAATTATGATGTAAAGTGAAACATCCAGAATATCTTTAAAAATGTTTCATTTCATTACCAATTCCTCACCCATTAAACAAACTAAAAAACAGTTCGTCTTTTGAGTTTGTCTACTAGTTGTCTTTGTTAAATTAGTTTATATCACCCACATATCAGAAAGCATTTGTTACTCAAATTCTGTTTTATTTAGACTTACCTCATTGTAAATGTCTGACAAATACCCTTTTCTATCATAACTAGAAATAGTGTCACTTCTAGAAAGCATTTGTAATTTTATAGTTGCAGATATATTATGATGATTTTTGCATACAAATTAAAATAGAAAAGGTGGGAAATATTTTATGCCGACCAGTCTCCAACCTTTCTGAAATATCACTGTGAAGAAATGCTGTTAAAGCAAACTTAAATGAAGCAATGCTAAATAGAGTTTATTAACAATGTTTGATATATTGACAAACTTTGTTCTTTAAAACTGCCAAGGTTACATCACATTTCTAAAAGTAAGTTGATACATTTGCCATCTACCATTATTTCTTGGCTTTATCAAATTTCATTCTTTAGAAAGTCATAGGATTAAGGGGTTAGAAATGTGATAGAAGGTTTGTTTCTTAAAATTACCTATGATAAGTAACTATACTGTTAGTGTTTTCCCTCTGACAGTTATGACTAGCTCCTTATTTACTTAGCACTATAATTAGTTAAGTGTTTTCCTTTCAAAAATATTCAATGATTTGTACTGAATGCACCATTACTTGTATTGCACTGGAGCAAAAAGTCATGTCTTCATCTATTTAATGAAAAAATGTAAAATACAGTCTAAAGAAATTGCTTACAGTTTTGTAATTTATGTTGTTTTTAAGCCCAAGATACATCAGATGCAGTAGGAAAGCAACTTAATACAGCTTCATACATAAAATATAACTAGGTTGGATTTTGAATATGAAATAGTTTATGAGTATTTACATTTTCTGTGTTTTTATGGTTTTACTTTTTAAAGTCTATATCTAATTACCTGGCTGTAGAACAGTACTTTGTAACTTATGGTCATAACTGTTAGTGGACAACATACACAAGCAGAAACAAGAAATTGTTACAATGATTATGTTTTGTGAACAAGCTTGTCTGATGTGTTAAGAACAGAAATGAATAGCACCATGACTCTCAGAACCATTCTGTTACTGGGTGTGAAAACACAGACGAGCGAGATCTACTAATTCATGTTAAATTGATAGGCAATTGCTTTGTTAATGACTTCTCCAAATGCACAGTACAATGCGATCCTCTGGCATATGCATTAATAAATGGATGTATATTGAGCACCTGCTACACTTTCTTCCTTGTTCTGTCTTTCATTTCTTCTACCATTTTTGCAACATTTCACTATTTAGGAATGGAAACTCCAGGGAATCTTTACTGGATAGAACACTTCACATTGTTTGGTTCTAATACCTCATTAGAATTTGAAAAAGTATTTCCATTTGTTTTCATGGAAATGAAACAATAATGATGTAGATAATGATGTAGAGATATGATGTAGAGAATAAGGAAGATAATGATGTAGAGATATGATGTAGAGAATAAGGAAGCTGAAGAACCTACCTGTGTCTCTGAATGCTGTTAAGCCCCATGAAGAAAATATAACATGCAACATATAAACAAGCAACACTGTTAAGCAAAAGCTTACATTACAAAGGGTTTCATTGTTTTATTGAAGGATTCTTTCTAGATTTATCTTACAGTGTTTTTACAGAACATTGGCTTGAGCTCTTAAGGAGCACATTAATGTCATAAAACTTGATACAAATTAAAGAAATGACAGTTTTGGTTGGCATTGATCATTCAAAAATTATGAGCTAAATATTTTTTCCAGTATTTGTTTAATTGGATCTATTTATTCCATCTTCATTTTGTATACAATATATATCAAGCGCTAATGGTGGCAGCGTGAATTGAGTCTGTTTATTACTATCATAAAGTACAGGTACTAATTTAGAAATGGTCTCTGTTGTTTCTCCCAAGATGCCAAGTTTTTCTGTTTTCTCCAGAACAAAGCCTGTTGTATTTGCATCCCAGATTAGTAATCCCTCTGAGGTTCACAGCAATCTCTGTCAACTATACACTCCACTACAGTGTGTGGTAATTTATCATATTCTACATAAGATGCACAACGCTCTGTTATTCATCTACAGATGAATCTCACATTAGACAGTCTTAGAGAAACACTTGAAAATCAAATTTGGCCAAAATGAAGTATTAAAAAAACATTGCCGAGCACCTACTATTAAAGGAACTCTGATGAATGGTTATTTAAGATAAGTTATCAGATGTTCCCATCACAAACCTGCTCTAATTCATCTATTTCTAGGGTAATTTATATATTGAATTCCTTTAAATGAGGCACGTTTATAAATGACAATTCTAGTTTAATGTATTTCTTTTTTTTTTTTAATGTTTGAAATGCGGTTTATTTTCTGAATTCTCTAGATTATATAAAGAATGACTACAGTAGACCTTTTATGGACTAACATAGTAGCTTTAGTCTTTACACTGAAATAATGAAAAATAATCCAATTCGTATGGGACTCAGAAATATCCAAGGATGGATGTCTGATTGCCTGGTTAACACCGGCAGAATTCTTGGACACATGAGAAGAGTGGCTTCCCTGGCACCGCCTATGTTTATACTTATTCTAGTCCTTGTTTGAAACAGCTGACCCCTTGCTCCCTGACTCTTAGCATGCCACAGATTGGCGATCTCTCTGGTAGAAGCCTCTGCTATGTATTTCTCAAAATCAAAACCTAAGACATGTGACTTGATGAAGGATAAATTCCAGTTTGTGAATATTACATAATGTATATTTGACAGTACACTTTTTTTCACACTATGACAAGTCTGAAGTCAAAATATATATTATAATCATTGGTACACTATAGTTTATTCCTTTCTTAACTGTATATAAAACAATGGTTCATCTTGCTACAAATGACTTCTTAGAAACAGTTAAGCATATTTACAAAGATTTACAAATGTAAGAAAATAAGTAATGGTCATCTGCTTAACAAATCATATATATTTTAACTTGCACATACAAAAATTAAATCCCCCCAAATGTCATCATGTTATCACCATATATACACTTTCTTTACTATAGACCCCTGGCAGCACTGATTTATTTTTTTCCCTCTAGCTTTATGTTTTCTATGTCATACAAATGGAGTTATAATAGTACGTACCCTTCAGACCCTGGCTCCTTTCATTTAGGACAATGCATTTGAGAGCCGTCCGTGCTGGGGGATGGATCACTTGCTTCCTTTGCACGGCTGTGCGCTAGCTCATTGTATGGACATACAAAAAAGCATCTGTTCGTCTGCGAATTAAAAGACATCTAAGCTGTTTTCCGTTTAGGGAGATGATTAACAAAGATGTTAAAAACATTCATGTACGGAATTTTGTGTGAATAAATATTTCTCTAAAGTGAATATCTAGTAGTATGATTTCTGGGTCATAGTACATATTTAACTTTCTAAAAAACTTTCAAACTTTTACCAAAATGGTTGTATCACTTCTGTTCCCAGCAGCAATGGCTGAGAATTCCAGTTGCTCAGAATCCTTGAAAGCACTTGATATTGTCAGGTTCTAATAGGTACACAGTGACATCTCAATATGGCTTTCATTTGCAGTCCTCTGATAATTAATGATGTTGAGTATCTTTTCATGTGCTTAATTGTCACCCATATGTTATCTTTGGTGAATTGTCTTCAAATCTTTTGCTCACTTATTCAATTGGTTATTTGTTTTATTACTGCTGAATTTGGAGACATCTTTGTGTATTCCATAAAGGAGTCCTTTGTCAGATACGAGATTTGCAAATATCTCATCCCAGTCTGTGGCTCCTCTTTCCATTCTTATAATAGTAGCTCTCAGAGAGCAAAAGTTTTTAATTTTAATGAAATCCAATGTATCATTTTTTTCTTTTATGGATCATGGCTTTGCTATTATCTTTAAAAATTCTTTGCCCCACTCGGAGTCACTAGGATTTTCCTTAGTTTTATAGTTTTAGATTTTACAGTTTGGCCTATGATCCATGATTCATTTTGAGATTGGTTGTTTGTTTTATTATAGGATGTGATGTTTGGGTCAGGATTAATCGATCTCCTTATTTTTAATTAATTTGCATAGGGAAGGTCTAATTTTCCAACATCACATCATTTGTAAAAGAGCACTTTCCCCTGTGAATTGCCTTTGCACCTTCATTCATCATAAATCCATTGACTAAATATTTTGAGACTATTTCTAAAACCTCTATTCCTGAAATCTTTACCTTTTCACCGATGTGACATTGTCTTACTGTAACTTTATATTGTCTTGAACTAAAGCTGTATGGGTTTTCCATGTTGTTCTTTTTCAAAATTGTTTCTAGCTATTTTATACTTTTGCCATTACATTAAAAAAATTATGCTGGGATTTTATTGAGTCTATATATTAATTGGGGACATATGACATCTTAATAGTGAATTTTCAATCTATCAACACAGTACATGTCTCCATTTATGTAGGTATTCATTGATTGCTTTCATCCATATTTGGTAGTTTTTGACATACAAATCCTACTAAGTATTTCTTTTCTGTGTACTTGTATGATAGTGTAAATGGTACTTTAGTTTAAACTCCAGTTGTTCATTTCTTGTATAAAAATTGATTTTGGTATATTGGCATGGAATCTGTAACTTCACTAACCTCACATTTTTTGGAGAATATGTTAATTCCTTGGTATTTTCTACATTAACAATCATGTCAAAAGAAAGAATTTTTTTCTACCTTTCCAACTGTATGCATATTACATTTTTTTTCTTAATGCACTAGTTAAGGCTTCTATTATGATCTCGCATAAGAGTGGTAAGCTTGACTTGTTCTCAGTCTTAGGAAGAAACTGTTCAGTCTTTCACCATTAAATATGATGCTAGCTATAGGTTTTCCTCACATACTTTATCAGCTTAAGGATATTTCCTTCTACATGTACTTTGTTGAAAGTTTTTATCAAGTATGACTCTTTAATTTTGTCTAATGCTTTTTCTGCATCAAATGATCAAATAATTCTTTCTCTCTAGACTGTTAATATGATAAATTATATCAATTTATTTTTTTGATTGCTGAAGCAGTATTGCATTATGGTCTGAGTCCCACTTGTTCATGATATATTGTCCTTTTATGTATATTGCTGAATGTGGTAATGCTATGTTGAGTAATTTTCACATCTGTATTCATGAGCTATATTGATACATAGTTTAACTATATATAGTTATCTTTTTTTGTAATGTTTGTGTCTTGTTTTGGTATCTGGATATTTATGGTCTCCTAAAATGACTTGGGAACTCTTACCTCCATTTCTACTTTCTGGAAGAGATTACATAGAAGTGATAGTAATTCTTCCTTAAAATTTTATGGAATTCAACAGTGAAAACATTTGGAACTAGAATTCCTCTTTAGCGAGAGATTTAAACAAATTCAACTACCTCAAGAGATACAAAACTATTAAAGTTATCCATTTCTTCTTCAGTTTAAATTTCTTTCTTTTAAGGAGTTGCCTCATTTCATTTGTCAAATTTATGGACATAAGCTTGCTGTAGTATTCTTTTATTACCCTTTAATACCTATAGGATCTGTGGTGATTTTCCCTCTTTTAATCTTTAAATTGATATTTTATGTCTTGTCTCTTTATTTCTTGGTCAGTCTGGCTAAGGATTTATCCTATTAATCTTTTAAAAGAACCACGTTTTATTTCATTGATTTTTCTCTATTTTTAATTCTAGTTTGAATTTCAATGTCTTCTGTTCTTATCTTTCTTATTTTCTTCCATCTGCTGATTTGGGTTTACTTCTTCTAATTTATTAAGGTGGCACCCTAGATTATTGATGTGATACCCTTTGCCTTTAAAGTATAAGCACTGAATGCTATAAATTTTATTCTAAACACTATTTTGTCTTCATTCCACAAATTTTGATACATGGTATTTTGCCTTCGTTTAATAATACTTTCTAATATTTAATAATATTTTCTAATTTTTCCTGTGAAATTTCTGGCACATGGTTTAGGTGTTATCTTGTTAGATTTCTAAATATTTCAGGGATTTTCCAAACATTTTTCTGTTATTACTTTCTAGTTTGACTCCATCATAAAGTATATACTTTGTATTATTTCAATTCTTTTAAATTTGATAAAATTTGTTTTATGATCCCAGATATCCATAGTGAATGCTTCATATGCACTAGAAAGGAATATATTTTCCTGTTGTTGGGAGGAGTTTCTATAATTCAAG